CGCCACGTAGCGAAAAGAAGAAACGACTGGCGCGCTGTTGTTAACTCGGCTATAATCGCGTAAGCGGTGACTACGCCAATCAAGAAGAAGAACAACACCACCTGAACCACTGGTTCATTACTTTTACGAAACGAACCTCTATCAAAGCATTTCTTGCAGAATAGATGGGCAAAATCCATTGAGGCTAAAGCATACAATTTAAAAGATTTATTTCATTTGCAGTGTACCTATGTATACGTAGATGTGTATGTAGAATAATTCTGTTAGTTTGAGTCACATCTTGCGAGTTAAATTTGATCTACGTTCCGTTATCCAAACAACCTATAAATTGGCATATGTATTAAAGTCAGGTGTGAATACTGTATTATTGCACCAACGCGTAGGGTACTCTTAAACTTCAAAATATGTTAAATAAACTACCACTACTAAAAAAACTTATTTTAAAAATGTTCGCTATTACAGATTCGAGGACAAATTCACCACCGTGGAGGAGCATTGTTGCCATCAGTTGATGGCGAATACAAATATAATCAGAGCAAACAAAAGACCTGCAGGTGAACATGAAAGACGCTTCAATGCACCTGTGTTAAACGAAGTTACTATTGTGGTAGTTGGAGAGAATATGGACTCTCGATACATTGTAATTCAACGGCGTGATGGTGGCAACCTTCAGCGTATTAGTGAAACACATCGTACATATGATTCATTACAATACACTCTATTGACAATAAGGTATTCGTTTAAACGTGTAAAAGCCATGTAAACCTCTTAAACCGTGTATATTTACGAACGCGTAAAAATCTGACAGCAACTTATATGGAAATTCATTTAAACACATTACGCACCAATGTCAGTGTGTAGAGAACGCTTGTAAATTTACGATATTGCAAAAGCAACCCTTCCAAACGACCAGCTAATGAATATTATTGTGAAAATTAAAATGGAAAAGGTAAGAATGAAACTCGGAACATAAATTTTATTTAATTGCTGCAACTGTTTTATATTTCAGGATAAAAAGTTAAAGCAAAAGCGCCTACGGCTGTAACCGTCCCATCGCTGGACAGAGTCGCWGTCCCTGCAGCTGTTGCAAGCAGTATCCGACGCAATTAAAGATAATCCAGAATCTTTTGAGGTAAGGGTTTTAAAAAAGTGAAAATGCTTAGGTACATATGTTTGTTTTAACACGAATTTACGCATATCTTCCAGAAACCGACCTCCCAATGGTTTCACGAAAAATTGCAGCAAAATACACCGGCACTTCAATCTGTCCTTTGCATAGCTATGAAAAGCAAAATGAGTTATCTCCAAGCGTCGTACGTTGCCGCGGCAGCCTGGTCTGGAAAAACAAAACTGGGTCTGGACTACTGGCTAATGGTGACGAGTCAAGCGAATCAGCGCATTTCAACAAAACTTGTCCCAACTTTGACTTACTGGAAGTTATCTTCGGGCAACGCAAAAATGTAAATCCCGGAGTAATTTTTGAAAGCACTGACAGCATTGAAGTACTGACTGATTCCCCTTGTGCTGATAGTTCGTTAAACGATACCATCGATTCCTACGATTTATGTGCGCTTAAAAAAAAAGGGTGAATAAATTGATTTTTATTCAGGAGAAAAAGTTGGAATTAGAAGTTAAGAAAAAGAAAAATAAAATAATGAGGTCGAGTTGAAAAGAATTAAACTGAATAATCAATTAGAAATAAAAAGAATTGAAACTGAATCAGAAAAAGAAACCAAACAGGAAATTGAAAAACTGAAACTTGCTGATGAAGAACGCATTAAAATGTTTGAAATAGAGTTACAAGTTAAAATCAAAATAAATGTGAAACTTTAAGAGATTTCACATGGTACTTTTTTCGCAAATTTAAAAGATCTCATAGCAAAATACATATATTTGAATRTAACTAAATGYTARTAGGCACASAARCAMTTTTYATTTTTCTTGTAAATAAAAGCATATATTAATGGATTTTAGAGATATGTAAACATGAGTTTCAATACTTTATTTTTAAGTTTCCATTAGTGATAACAATGAAAGGCGCTTAGATGCACCTTCAACTGTTGGTAAGTTTTGATCCCCAGGCTCGTCGGCTTCACTGTTTTCACTAATGCTTTCTTCGTCAACATCAAAACTACCGTCGACAACGTATATAGACTTAATCATTTGTGCAGAAATTTCTGATCCCGAAGTAGATCCACAATTGTATGAAGTGGACCGTTTGGCGAACAACAAATGCTCGAAACGTAATCCGCGTGCTTTGTCGGCAGATACAATTACAGGCAACCCTTTGTATCGTCGCCGCTCTGTAGAAGATAACGGCAGAAAAATAACGTTGCAACTAAAAAATAAGGATGGGGTAGTTAGCAACAGATGGGATGTTACGTATTCACCGCTGCTCTCCAAAACCAACAGAAAACGCAGCGCAAAGAGCTGAGAGACCACCAGTGACAACGCCCACAAGTTTCTTCGAGACATGCGCAAGTGATCCATTTGCAAAAACATCGTTTTGCTCGGAAATACCACAATATTTTACATGGAATGCATCATCCAAAAAGTTCCAACATAGGAAACAAGGACAGCCTGTACCGGGATACGAAAATGTATATTCAGCCGATGCTTTAGGGTGCATTTACACAGTTCATCAGAGAAATGACGAATGTTTTCACCTGCGTTTGTTATTAGTTAATGTTCGTGGACCAACTTCATTTAAATTTCTACAAACCGTCAATGGTGAATTATGCACAACATATCGAGAAACCTGTCAACGTTACATCAAATATGTGTAACAACGGCAAATCCCAATCTTGCAATTTGCACGGAAATACGCAATAAGGTATTAATAACTTTAGAGGATTTGTGCGTGATGATATCCGGTAAGATGTTGCACGAAGTAGGAATTCCTGCGCCTAATCGCCCTATGCACGATGCACTCAATCGTGAATTTGAACGGGAACGGCAATACGATAGAAATGCTTTAAGTCAATCCGTACAAAATAAAATCCCACTTTTAAATCTGCAACAAAAAACAGCTTACGATACAATAATGAAATCAGTAAATGACGGCAATGGCGAATTATTTTTCCTCGATGCACCAGGTGGAACTGATAAAACATTTTTAATTTCATTAATTTTAGATACGATTCGGGCACAAAGTCAAATAGTACTAGCAGTAGCCACATCTGGTATAGCTGCTACATTATTAGAAGGTGGACGAACTGCACATTCTGCCCTAAAATTGCCGTTAAATTTGCAAACAATAGATCAACCGACATGAAATATAACCAGAACATCTGCAATGGCAAAAGTGCTACAAAATTGTAGATTAATAATTTATGATGAGTGTACGATGGCGCACAAACGAGCATTAGAGGCACTCGATAGAACATTAAGGGACTTGCGTGGCAATCAAAAACTCTTCGGAGGCGCGATGATTCTACTGGCTGGAGATTTTCGCCAAACGCTTCCAGTAATTCCCAAATCAACAGCTGCTGATGAAATAAATGCTTGCTTGAAAACATCAGTTTTGTGGAAATACGTAAAAAATATCAAATTAACAACGAGTGGCGTTACAACATGACATATCGGCAGAAATCTTTTCGAAGTCATTATTAGACATAGGCAATGGGAAATTCAAGCTGACACTAACACTGGCCTTATTTCGTTTCCCCCAAATTTTTGTCATTTTTCAACGTCAAAGGAAGAATTAATTTCAAAAGTGTTCGTAAGTGTAGGTGTAAATTACAAAAACCATGCTTGGTTGAGCGAACGAGCCATTTTAGCAGCGAAAAAGAAGGATTCAGATGATTTGAATATAAAAACTCAAAGTCAAATTGATGGACAAGTGCATTCATTTAAATAAATCGATTCTATTACCGATCCAAATGAAGTTGTCAATTATCCAACTGAATTCCTAAATTCTTTGGATTTGCCTGGATTACCACCTCACAATTTACAGCTAAATGTTGGCTCTGTAATAATTATGCTACGAAATCTCAATCAGCCAAAATTGTGCAACGGAACAAGACTAGAATCATAGAAATAGCTTATTCCAAGAATAGCACTGATGCCAACAGACTTAAGCCTGTTCGAATTTAAGCGTGTAAAGTTTCCAATGCGCCTTGCATTTGCAATGACGCTTAATAAATCACAAGGTCAATCATTAGAAGTGTGGGGAATAAACCTTGAATAGCCGGGTTTTTCGCATGGGCAGTTGTACGTCGCATGATCGAGAGTCGGCAAGCCGTCGGCGCTATACATTGTTCACTACAAGGCATTGCAACTGAATAAAAAATGTTTTATTTTCTCCATTTCATTATCATCCATGCGAAGCTGAGGTAATCATTAATTTTGAAACAGTGACAATTATTTTGTTAGCTTCAAAAGATTCTAACAGATGGCGGTAAGTTTTGATTGGATTAAGTAATTATTCAACAGATGGTGCTATGTTAAAAGTACTGTACTGTGTTATCCGCCATATACCGAAAATGTCATGTAACCTTTTACAATTGAATTGAAATTTTGTAACACTTGCTTGTTTGATATTGAATAAAGCACCACGTGTAATGTGTTAAAATACAAACGTTTTATATAAGCTATAATTTAACAGCATAATCACTAATTATTTTAATATTCAAATACAAAACAAATTTAGGTTATACTTTAGTTTCAGCAATACGTAGTTATTATTCCATTAAATTTGTGAGAAAAGCGTGGGGTGCTTTGTGACATATTTTTCATAYATCGAGCATTCCACTCTATTTTCACAGTAATGCACGAATTTTTTCTTCGTTATTATTATTCGTGGTGGCTGTGTTTTAAAACTAAATAGGCAGCACCGTGAGGTTAGGCCGTCGCCGGCAGGGACTCATACAAAGCACAACAGACTCTGTCCCTATTTACTCATTAATTTTTTACAAGCATTACAAATTCTAGTGTAAAATATTCTAGTGTAGATATACTAGTGTAAAAGATTTAATCATAAAAAATTTGAAATGGGAATTCAAAAAACATTATCGGCACCTAAACCGGCATCTAAAACATCTCGCAACCAACGCAGATACGCGTGACGCCATTCCAGGATAGTTGCATGGTATGGCCGACCGAATCCCTGTGCCAAAAAACGTATAAGCATACTAGAATCAGTAGTGGTTCTGTCCAGTATACATTTGTAGCTGAGTGGGTTCAATATATTTTGCTTTCCATTTAAATGAGACATATTTATTCAAGAATTAAAAATTTATTTGTTATAAAATTAACTTTGTGCGCTCACAGTTTAAATGTCAAATATAGGGCAAAGTTGCCATATATGAAATTTCCCATAAACTGTGAATACAATAATTGAAATAAAGCTCCTAACGAAATGAAGCACTGCCGACGTGCCAAAAATATTGGGAAAAATACACGCACAAATGTAAATAGTATGTAGTATTGAAACACTTGGTTCTGAAACCCACAAAAGTGGTATACTCGCCACAGATCGCGTGAAGATTCTAACCACTTTTCTCCTCACACGTATATCCTATACATGTAAAAACATAGCTGAACTCATCTAATTACTGTAATCGTCAGCTAATGCAGTGTTGCATTTTTTGATTTAAAAATTATTATTATATTATTTTTTGGACATATTTATATAAGATTATTATTATTAAATATATTAAGCCTAACATTGTGTAAATAAAAATGTATTTAATTAAAAATAATAATTAACATTTGAAAAAAGATTATTAACACCTGAAAATAAAGAATAATTAAATAGAATTCGTAATATTAAAAAAAGGAATGAATAATTGTATAAAATGATAATAATCTCTGAAAGAAAAGATGAACATCATTTCTTTGGTGGAGTAATACAAAAAACCAAATTTCCTTACAAGTGGGGCATGTGCAGATAGGGGAGCCTCGCCAGAGGAGAAATATGCAAAAATAGTGTAAAAATAACTTATGTACATATATATTGTAAAATATTCCCGATTAACAATTCAGAAATTTGCACTGAAAATACATGTTATTTCTCTATGTTTCACTAATTGTTTTCACATTTTTCACTTGGTATACACACACCCTCTAAACATTGAAATAAGTTCAAATTTCGCTTATTTTGTTTGCTTACTTAAATTTATTAATTTAAAAATCCCTTAACGCAATTATTGTCGAAAAGGTTAGATTGCTTACAATTATGAGGAAAACGAGCATCGCTATATCTTAAACACCACATAATTATATAGCATTTTTAACCATTTTTTTTTTGTTTTGTTTGTTCCGTGATATATTAACTATAAAAAAAATACTTTCCAACATTTTTCAAGCTATAACTGAGTTGTGAACCATGTATTGTACATATTCAAATGTATAATACGTGATTTATATTTAATAAACACAAATAAGTAAAAATATATGATAATATTATAAAATTTATATCATATCGGGGTGATTAAGTACTTTCGTGTATACTCCTTCTGCGTTGGAGGCCTTCGGCCGCCCTACTTATACATATCTTCTTCTTCCTAATTGGTGTAGACGATTATAGCCGAGTTAACAACAGCGCGACAGTTGTTTCTTCTTTTCGCTACGTGGCGCCAATTGGATATTCCAAGCGTAGCCAGGTCCTTCTCCACCTGGTCCTTCCAACGGAGTGGAGGTCTTCCTCTTCCTCTGCTTCTCCGGCGGGTACAGCGCCGAATACTTTCAGAGCTGTAGTCTTTTCGTCCATTCGGACAACATGACCAGGGTAGCCGTTGTTTTTTAATTCGCTGAGCTATGTCAATGTCGCCAAATATCTCGTACAGCTCATCGTTCCATCGAATGCGA